CAAGTTCATCTCTAATAAAGGTGGTGGTGTTGTAGTTTTCTTCTGGGTAATTGGTTGTTCGTCCCATCATAAATGAAAACCTAAATACACAAATGAAATTGATCTTTCTAGATGCATTCATGAGCTGGCAAGAAAGTGAGAGATTCTGAGGTCAAAACACTCAGTGGCTGAAGGGACTGGGCAAGGTAAGTGCCATACAGAAACTGGCTGTGGCTCTGTGGACATTCCAGGAACCAGATGAACTTCTATTGTCTCGTCTCCCAGGACACTGGCAGTAGGAGAAGATGAGAGGCCATGATAGGCCTCTGGACGTAGAAATGAATCCCTACATGTCCACAGCCACAGTTAAAAAGGTCAACCAGAAATAACCACTAACCCCATCAACTGCTAGGAGGTTCTGAGCACCGAGGTATCAAGCAAAAACAAGAAAATAATGTCATCACTGAGAATTTGGAACCACCGGTGGACTATCTGCCTGTCATGTAGTTTCAAGGCCAGATTCATAACACCTGTGTGTTCCAAACAACAAACTAAAAAAATTCAATTCAATGTAATTTTAGGTAATCAAAGATTGGTAGCAGTTTGGATGGCATAAATAAATGCAACTGTCCCATATTAGGACATATATTTATCTCATACTGCTAGAAATTTCCTCAAATAAAAATTTAAGGGAAATAAGCAGTTTCCAGTAATAGGTAACTATACAGATTAGGGAGATACTGTGAGTGAAAATAAAGACACAAGAAATAGACCTGCAAGAATTCACATACCAGAATGAATACACACACACAACTATAAAATAACTGATTTTTAAAGAGCACACTGAAAAATTGATGTTGAAAGCCGGAGGGCCTGGTGTAAGGGCTCAAGGGATTAGCTAATCCTCACTTTGTAAGCACTGGGATCCATATGGATGCTGGTTCCTGTCCTAGACAATCTACTTCCCATCCAGCTCCCTGCTTATAGCCCGAGAAAACAGCAGAGGATGGCCCAAAACGTTGGGACCCTGCATCCCCATGGGAGACCTGGAAGAAGTTCCTGGCCCCTGGCTTTGGTTAGGCTCAACTCCAGCCATTGAGGCCATTTGGGGTGTGAACCACTAGATGGAAGATCTTTGTCTCTCCTTTTCTCTGTAAAATCTGATCTGCCTTTCCAATAAAAATAAAATAAATCTGAGAAAGAAAACTAGGAACTATAAAGGAACACCATGCAGATTTGGAAAAGAATCAAATAGAACTTTTATAAATGAAAACTATGATAATTTAAATTAAAACCTTATGGAAACAACAATTAGAAAATGTAGTGGTTGGTGTTGTGGCACAGAGGGTCAAGTTGCTGTCTGCTGGCATCTTGTATGAGCACTGGTTCAAGTTTTAGCTGCTCTACCTTCAATCCAAGTTTCCTATTAATGCTGTAAGGCCAATATGCCACGTAAGCACCAGTTTCCATCCTAACACTCCACTTTCAAATCTAGCTCCCTACCAGTATGCCTGGAGAAGCACTGGAAAATGGCCCAATGGGATGGAGTTCCTGGCCCCTAGAGATCTGGATGGAGCTCCTGAATCGTGGCTTTGGCCTGGTTGTTGCAGGTTGTTTGGCTAATCTGGGTCTGTCTCTGTCTCTCCCCTCTGGCCCCGTAATTCTGCCTTTCAAATGAATAAAAGAAAAAACATTTAAGAGAGATAGCAATATGCAAGGGATAAGGCCCTGTGGGGGATTGGCTAGTTCTGGCTCTACGTCTGATTTGCTAGGGGACTGATCCTGAATTTTCTTCCCCTTTGAATCAAAAGCTTGGAATAAACCATCTGAAAACCTTTAGCGAGCCTGCAGGGAATGCAAGGGGAGTGAATATTTATGACAGTCTCCTTACATGCACACAATATCTCTCAGACCTCATAACAAATACGAGAGTGTGTGTCATTATTCCACTTACACTAGGGGATGCTGCCTCTCTGGGACATTAGGCAGCATTCTCGGACTCACATCAAGAGAGTCAGAGAGCCAGAATTCCTACCAGAATGCGTCAGCCTCCAAAGCCGAAAGCTGCTTCCCAAGGATCATTCTTTCTTAAAAAGCCAATAGGCTCATTCATTTTTATTTACTGCCTTTTAAGTACATCAGTGTCTTTCTAAGTGGGTCTGGACCTGCCTGGAGCTGCTTGGAGCAGACTTACAGGAGTAGATTCCTGGGTCTCGTCTAGATGAGCCAAAGCAGACTGTCCAGGACTGAAACCTGGGAATTTGCATGAACAAACTTCCCCCAGGTCATCTGGAGAGCTGGTGAAGTTCTGGGAACCACGATTGCCAACTTGTACTTTATTGTCCTATTATAATAATGTAGTTTATTTACGAACCTGTGGCTCATGGGAATTTTCTGCTCATATCAGGATGATCGAGTTTTAAAATAGCCTGTTCCTCCTTCCTGTTCCTCAGATTCCTATTGAACACTCACAATTCACAGTGAATGTGAAAGAACTGGAGGTGTGTCATGGAAAATAATAATGCTGAGTAACCCAGGCTCTTCAAGGCCGGGGCGGACGAACAGCCATGTTGATTAGAATCACACGGAACTGGAAAGGAATGGGCAAAGGAAATGGCATTAGCTAAATATTTACTACATTCCAGGCACATTACATCATTGAAGGGGCCTGTGCCACAGGATTTAATTCTTCATCTTTATAAATGGAGTAGGTATTTTCATGGCTTACATTTTAGAGATGAGAAACCAAATGGCCAAAGCCAATGACACCAAGATGAATAAATTGTTCATTCAATAAAAAAACTTGGGGGCTGTTAGGACAAACACTAAGAAGCAACTGGTAAAAAGGTATTTTAGGGGTTGGCACAGTGGTCCGATGGGCCAAGACACCACCTGTAGAGCCAGCATCTCATGTAGGTACCAGTTTGAGTCCCAGCAATTCTACTTCCAGTCCAGTTTCCTGCTTAGGGCCAGAGAAAATAGTAGAAGATGTCCCACAAAGTTTGGCCCCTCGACCCACATGGGAGATCTGGAAGAACCTCCTGGCTGGGCTAGCCTGGCCATTGTGGCCACTGAGGCAGTGAACCAGCAGATGAAGAGGTCACCATCTTCTCCCCATGTCTGTAACTCTGCCTTTCAAATAAATACCTATATATACCTGCCTTAAAAAAAAAAGAGCAATGTAGAGGCCTCAGGTGTCACAAGGTCCAGCAAATCTCCATAAAGAAACTGGAACCCAGAAAGCAGGTGGGGGCTGGAGAGTGCCAGCATCAATCCCTCTGGACTTGGTCAGTCTGAGGAAGAGGGCCGTTTGCAGCTGGTGGACTTTGCATTCCAGACAGCTGAGCTGTGTGTGTGTGTGTGTGGAGGGGGAGACTCAGAAAACTTAGTATTTGGGAGTATCAGGTGCAGTGACAAGCTTCTATCTCAAAGGAAGATGCTTGCATTTAAGTCTGTTTCCTACCCAACCTCCTGCTAACTTACCTGCCCCCTGCAAGGCAGTAAGTGATGATGGCAAGCCCTTGGGGTGCCTGCCACTCACATGGGAGACTCAGATAGCATTCCCAGCTCCTGGCTCCTGCCTGGCCCTGCTGTTGCAGAACTTTTGGGCGTGAATCAGTGTCTGGGAGAGCTGTCTGTATGTGTCTCTCTTTCAAATATCCGTCCATCAAGCAACTAAGCAGTCTTCACCTACTCTCTCAAGGGTCTCTGCTAGGAGGAAAACAGAGCAGGTCTGATTCCCAGCTCCTACCCCAACTCCTCGGCTTCACAGCTCACTGGCTTCCCCAGGCTGGTAAAATGCTCACCCGCTAGCTCTCAAGTAACATGCAAACCCACGCTAGCTGCTGCTTCTGATTCTAATTACCCAGCTTTATTTAATTCCAGTTTCCAATCACACAGAAAAAAAAAAAAAACATGTTCTCCTTAAAAGGTCCTTGGGAAAACGGTTCTCGGTGCTGTCTAACACAGTCTCCTGGGCTGTGTTTGTGTCTGAAGAAGGGACTCGTCTGACAGGAAGAATTACAAATCTGGAGCTCATTTTGGCATCCCAGAGGGAAGGTGGGTGGAGCGTCTCGCAGTAAATTCGGAATGAAAACGTAGCCGAGTTTATGTGGGTTTTCAGTGACACCTCAGAATTATTACACAGGAGTATCTCAGACAGCTCAGTCACAGAAAGGAGGAGTGTGCCCCCTCCCCCGCTATCCCTGGGAGAACCGGGTGCCAAGACGGGTAATTCCCTTCCTCGGAGGGACCCTTCCTTTCCATCCTGGATCAGGAAGAGGGAAAAGGAGGATAGCCGCTTTGATTTCTATTCTGGGTCTCTTCTAGAGCGAGGCTATTTGGGGGTGTGTCTCGATTCGGGATCTAAGGCTGGAATTTCAGAACTTTCTGGGCCTGGAATTTGGGGAGGAGGACTTGGGTAGTGGGTGCTCACCGAGACCCACCGAGAGCTGGAGGACACAGGAGACTGACAAAGTTGCACGTGATGGGCATTGAGGAAGGGTCTGAGACGTGCATCTGGGGAGTACACGTTGAAGTGCATGCAAAGCGACACTGCGTCTGTGGACGTCCTGCGTTAGGGACTGCAGGTGCAAGGCTGTGATGGGGGGTCGGGGTGGGGTTGGAGATCCGATCTTCTTTGCCTAGAGCGCCGGAGTGCACACAGCCTTTTTTTCCCCAAAAGCTACACTTAAGCAAGACACACCCATCGCCCCACAGGGGCTCGGGGAGAAGCTGCCCGCCAGCTGGCCTCGGGAGCCCCAAGCGGCTCTGGCTGAGGCCAGGGTCTGGCGGAACCACCCCCGGGGCGTCTGGGGGCGTGGCCGTCGGCCGGCGCCTGCCGCTCCGGATTGGCCGCCTGGCGCGCCCGCGGGCGGAGCTCCCGGCTGGGTCCCGCTGGGTCGCTCGCCGCCGGCGGGGAGGCGGGGCCGGGGGCGCCCGGCAGCCAATGGGCGCGCGTCCCAGAGCAGTTACAAAGGGCCGGAGCGAGGCCGCCGCGGCGGCGGGGGAGGTGGGGCGAGGCGAGGCTTGTGGAGGCGAGGCGGCGGCCAGGCCGGGCCGGGCCACAGGCGGCGGCAGCGGCAGCGGCACCATGGAGGCGGCGGCCGCTGCTCCGCGTCCCCGCCGGCTGCTGTTCTTCATGCTGGCGGCGGCTGCGACGCTGCTGCCGGGGGCGACGGGTGAGCCCCGGCGCGGCGGGCGTGAGGGCGGCCGCGGGGCGCGCGGGCCGGGACCGGCCTCTGGCTCACTCCTGCTCTTTCTCAAACATGGCGCGGGGCCGGGGGCGCAGGTGGCGGCGCCGGGGCCCCGGCTGGGCTTTCGGGGGGCTGGTGGCCGGGCGCGCGAAGCTGAGGCGGGGAGCGGAGGTGCGACGAGGGCGTGTGTGTCCGAGCGCGCGTGGACGTGGCCAGCAGCCCCGAGGCCGCCCGGGATCCAGGCCCCCGAGGTTGGGCGGGGGGCAGGAAGGCGGCGGCGGCTTCGGGCGGAGCTGTCGGAGGTCGGGGGGCTGCCCTCTGGAGTGTGAGTGGGCGAGGAGCGGAAGGTGGAAGGCTGGCTCCGAGCTGGTCCAGCAGGGCTGCCTCAGGCGCCCGTCAAGGACCCAGAGTGGCCTTGTCTTCAGGCGCTCCTGTCCAGAGTGGGTCGGGGGGCCTGGGGCGTCCGAGTTCCCCGGGGCAGAGCAGGGGTCCGGGGAGGCTTTCCGGGCGGGCTGTGAGCCTCGAGGGCTTTCGGGAGCGATGCGAGAGGTCGCCGCGCGATGGAGACCCCCGGGTCAGCCGGGCTGCGCGGGCTTTGGCGCCGGCCGCGACCCCGGGCAGACCTGCGGCCAGCGGCTGCCTCTCGGGACGGGGTGGCTTGGAAATGTGAGCTGCGAAGCTTTGTGTGGAGGAGGAGGCGGCGGCACGAGATGAGCGGATTGTTTCTCTCCTCGGTGCGTCTGCAAGTGTTGAAGCGGGTCCAGCCGCCAGAAGGCTACGGATTGTTTTTGTAGTGGAAACTTGCACGCTTTGCTCCCTGTGCGGGGTTGGGAGTGTTTGAATGGGAACGCTTTTATTTCTTTGAAGGAGCGTCGCTCCGGATGTGCCTTTTTTCTTAAGTGGCAGTTAGCAGCTTGAATCAGACGTCGGTGTGGGTTTTCAAGTGAGACTGTTTCCAAGATACTCAGTCAGGTTGGACTAGGTAGGTGGTGGTCACCTGCCCGGGTGAAGGGAGGGGTGTGCAAAATTTTTGTTAATTATTGGACTAAAGTACAGAAAGTAAAGTGAGGAGCCTTGGTGGAGAATACAGCGGAATGTTTCTGAAACAGAATGAGTGCTTAAACTCCCGTTAGTCCTAACAGATACTGTCAGGATGCAAATGAAATAGGACACCAAAGCCGGTTTTTTCCTGTTTCTTCTTTTTAACTCACCCCTGGGGCCAGGGGACGTTTGTCCTATTTACAGATGGGAACACTGAGGCTTAGAGAGGTTCCTAATGGCTAGGAACCCAGTTCCTAATGGCTGAGCTTGGGACCTGCACTCAGGGCTGTCCTTTTCCAAAGTCCATACACTGAGCTTTCTGCCCCCCCCCCCTTTTTTTTAGTCGCCTAGTTAACCATTTGAGACCCTTCACTTCAAGATGCCAGCCTCGCAATTTAATTTGAATGTTAGGTTGCTTCTTTCTGCATCTTGGCACATTCCTGCATCACTTCCCACGGGCCTGTATGAGAGGAAACTAGGAGGTTTGACGTTGGCTCAGGGAGCTAGGCAAGATAACTATGGGGGCAGGTGGGAAGCAGACGGATGTGTGTCAAACAACCACACCACTGGCAACACTGCTCACACTGCCAGTAACTGTAACTACAGCCACACTGCTAGTAACTATAACCAACACTGCTAGTAACTACAGCCCACACCCCTAGTAACTATAACCCATACTGCTACTAACTACAACGCACACCGCTACACACCGCTAATAACCACAACCACACGGCTGGCAGCTAGATGCCACATTACTGGTGAACAGCCCACATTGCTAGTAACTACAGCCCACTCTGCTCGTAACTGCTACGGATACCACTAATAACTACCTCCCATGCCACTAGTAACCTGAACAACTTGCAACTCATTCACTCCTTTCCACCCAGGGTAGCAACAGTGGGCTTAATTGGGTGTCACAAGTTGCTGCTGAAGCCCTGGAGGAGTTAGCTGTCTGGGTGGGCACCCATGCAGTGAAAGCCAGACTGCTCCACTCCTGCCCTGTGCCATTCCTCGCTTAGTCCCTCTTTTGGTATGGTCTGAAGATGCTCAAACACTTTTTTTTTTTTTTTGACGATTTGGTTTCCCTTTTTAAGACTGGCGTTGTCCCTTACTGTCTGGGGATCAGTTTTATATTTCTGTGCCCAGCTTCCATCCTCTCAAATACAGATTTTTCTAGAGGAACCGATCCCTTGTTCTTAGTACATTTAGTTCCACTATGTCTGCGTGAGAATGCTGTTTTGCTTCCTTTCTGCAATTTCACAGCTTTTTAAACTCTTTTTGCAAATATATCTAAAATCCACCGCTCCTTGGGTGATGCTCTGTGAGGATCCCGCCTTTTTTGGTTTAGGTCTGTCTTCCCAGATCTAGCTGCTTTCCAGTGTTTCATCAAGGCTTTCTGGTGGGCTATTGCCAAGCCACCCCTCCTCACCATCCCCAACCCCAGGCTCATAGGAGCCCGCTGTGTGTGTCCACCCTTGAGCCCCAGAATAGGGCCTCCTGAGCAGCCAGCTGCCTCTCAGTACTGCAGGGCTGTGCTGCCATGGTCGCCCTTTGTCCTGCTGACTCCTGAGAGCTCAGCCTTTTCAGTACACAGTGAATTTTTCCCTTTTTGGAGGGGTAAAGAGATGCAAGTTTCTAGTCCTGACTTGTTGTACTAGTTTAATTTTCCTTGGGCTCTGTGTCCCTGGACTGTGTAGCACTGGCTGTGTGCATTGTCTGTTTCCACTGGCTTGCACTCTTAAGTGTAAGTATGCAGGAGGTAGGGCGGGGGTTATGCTTCCTCCTTCCTTTGAGATCTCAACGCCTAGTTCTGGGTTTTAACATTTTGTTCCCACAGATACTTGTTGATTAAGGAGTTCCACTAGATTATATATTCCATTAGTTTCTCTTCTGATGTGTGTGTAAATAGTTAGGCACTGTCAGCTTAGCCTGCTGAGTGTAATCAGGAAAAGTTGTATTTTGTGATAAAGGAAGGGCAGTTGGTTATCAGATTGGGTTTTTGGTCTCAACTTCACCTCCCGTTATACAGAAAACAAGTGTGAGGCCTACTTTACCTGAGACTGAAGATAGAGTAAGAAAGTTGTACTTGAGTTTGAAGTTGTTGTTTTGTGCTGTTAGCAATGCATAGACTGATGTTCAAACAGCAAGTTGCGTTGACCCATCTGTTTTGATGATGATTCCCAGGGTATACACATATGCTGCATTTGACGTTTTTGGAAGGAATCTTAGAGTGGACCAGGCATTCTACCTGCCTTGTCTCATTTAATTCTCATAACCAACTCTGAATAGTAGTCATGTAATAGTGCAAAAACTTCTTATATACTGGTTAGCTTCCAGAAGATTTTCTTATTGGTACCCTAAGCTTGCCGATTGTTAAGTGTTTTTGGTATCACCTCTGTAGAGAGGCATCAGTATTCCAAGCTTAAGTTAGTTTGAAGTGATTGGGAGCAGCTTCCTGGGCACTTTAGGATTTACACTCCCTTAAACAGCTTCTTCACTCATGACATTGAGATTATGGAAAAGTAATTATTCTTCCTCGCTCATCCCACATAGGTTTATTATTTGCAATCTATGTGGGAAGAACTAGGCAGAATAACATGGGGTTGCCCACCAGGACTAGGTGTTCTAAAGGTGACAGTTTACAAGTGGAAAAGTACAGCTAGGAATAAGAGAGTGTCTCAGGGTCTCACCAGGAAACTGAAAAAAAAAAAAAAAAAAGAGGAACTTGAATCTTCTGACTCCCAGTCTTGTGCCATGTAGTGTGCTTTTTTTCAGTGTAAAGGCCTTGGGGGAGGGGAAGATATACAGAATGAATGCTGTGGCCTACCGAAGAGAAGCTGGTCTTGAACATTACTGAACATTGTGGGAAACCGTTCTGAAGATAGAAGAGATGGGAAAAAATTACGACTTAAAGTCCTCAGAGGAAAAGGTCTTTTCTTATTGCTGATGAAAGAGTACTGGTAGGTTAAACAAAGTAGGCTTGCAGTAGTTGGGCAGATGGGCCTAGCAGGCTGTAATTTGAATTGGCATGTAAAGCTTTGGTGAGGTTTAGAATCTTAGGTGAACTTTTTTTGTTTTTGTTTTTGGTTCTGAAATTAAGTGAAGGGGGCCCTGTGTGATAGTGTAGGGGTTAAGGTCCTCGCCTTATATGCACCAGGGATCCCATATGGGCGCTGGTTCTAATCCCGGCAGCCCCGCTTCCCATCCAGCTCCCTGCTTGTGACCTGGGAAAGCAGTTTAGGATGGCCCAAAGCCTTGGGACCCTACACCTGCGTGGGAGACCCGGAAGAGCTCCTAGCTTCAGATTGGCTCAGCTGTAGCCGTTGCGGCCGCTTGGGGAGTGAATCATCAAATGAAAGATCTTCCTCTCTGTCTCTCCTCCTCTCTGTATATCTGCCTTTCCAATAAAAATAAATAAATCTTAAAAAAAAAAAAAGAAAAGAAATTAAGTGAGGGAGCAAGCATGATCAAAAATATATAGAGAGAAATCTTACTTCTTTGGGAGAACCTGTGTTGAAATGTTCTAGGCACAAAACATTTGTGCAGGCTCAGACCCATTCTTGCAGTGCCGTTGTATTGCAGCCAGATATGTTCATGTGTATTGTAGTGAGTTTTGAAAGCAGTGCTGTCCTGTTGATTGCCCTTTTGATATGAGTCTCTTGAAACCACAGAGCTCCTTGCAGGTGCCCGCAAACTGTGTGCCTGTTGCTGCACTTTCTTGGTTGTGGCTTACATAATGTGGTGTTCTCTGAACAGATGGACCGTGGTTTGAGGGCATGTGAGTGGGGCACATCTTTGCTTCCTGCTTCTGGAATTAAGGGCACCTGCCACATGTTCCATAGGGCTTTTTATGCTTCCTATCATAAACTTGAGGAAACTTTTTGAGGCTTCTAAAATGTATGATCTCTCTTGACCCAGCCAAGTTCCAATAGTTAGAATAAGGT